AGCAGAGGGGTGAAGAATGGAACCAGTTCAGTAAAGGCTCTTCTGAAGAAGAGGGTCTGGAGTCTGGATTTGAAGGAGTTTAGAGAAGGTGACTCTCCGATATCCTTGGGCAGAGAGTTCCAGAGCTTGGGGGCGTAACAGGAGAAGGCCCTGTCACCCCTACAGTGTAGATGGGGCTTGGGGGGACAGTAAGGATATTTTAATGGATCGGATAGGAGTCTGCCAGTCGCCCTTGGCAAACGAGGAACTGGCCGAGCGTGGATACTCACAGCTGTGAACGGAAAGATGCAGCAGGCAGGCCCCTGTCCCCAGGGGATTCGAGACGGAGCAGCGGTACAGCCCGGCAGTCTGCGAGGAGACGTTGAGGATCCGAACGGTCCCTTTCAGGTCGCCTGGGATGGGTTGGGAATGAAGAAGCAGCAGCAGCACTTGACCAAGTTCATCAAAGCAATTTTAAAAAGCCCCTTTTCGGAGCGCAGTGCCCGTCACTATGATTGCACGGACAAATCAACAATCGCTCGATGATTTTTTCCAGAGTGCTCCCAGGCATTCTGGGACGTGTCTGTTGTTTCTACGGAGACGAAGAATTCTTGGAGCTGGACAGGAACACGTGCTTTTCTTTTCCTATGCTGTAATTATTCTACGGTAGTATTGCCGTTATTAGATACAGTATAATAATAATAATAATAATAATAATTTCTTACACTTATATAGCACCTTTCTGGACCCTCCACTCAGAGCTCTGTACAGGTCATGGGGATCCCCTGCACCCCCAGCAGTGTGTACCCCCACCTGGATGAGGCGCCAGTCCGCTCCCCACACACCAGCTCTCAGTGGGGAGGAGAGCAGAGTGATGGAGCCAGTTCAGAGAGGGGGGTTATTAGGAGGCCATGATGGGTAAAGGCCAGGGGGGAAATTTGGCCAGGACACCAGAAAAGCACTATATAAGTGTAAGCAATTATTCTTATTATTTTAGGACTGGAAATCTCCTTTCAAGAGTGTAGGACGTTTTGGTTTCAGACCCACTATTGAGCTGAGCTGGTTCCAATCGGCTGTCTTTTTTCTGTTTGTTTTTTTAAAAGCAACGTGGCGTTTGTATCCTCCTAAGGGGAGATCGCGATCCTAACATTCCCCCCAACGGCTGCGTGTTCTTACCTTCCTTGTTAACGGGCAGAGAAACGTGTTCGGGTTCCAGCTTGTCCCAGCTCATCTGCGGAGTGGGCACCCCCTCGTCCACATAGCAAGACAGAGTCACGCTGCCTCCTTCGTCCGGGTGGCCATCCGGGAGACAGTGGGGGGTTGAGGGGGGCGCTGGGGGAGGAAAAATCGTTGAGCGTGCTGTCGGAACTTCTCACAGGCGCAACTGCAATTTGCAACGACCGGTTTTTCAGATTCCGGAAATGGAGGGGCATCATGGGAATGTCTGGCTACTGCGGTGGGACTGGAGAGCCGGGCGAGAGGCAGCCGAGTCAAGAAAACCTCAAGTAGCACACGGGAAATAACCCAGCGCTGTGGGCTTCTGGGACCAGGCTGAGCAAGGGGAGCACACACACACACACTCAGTAGTCCCAAGTCAGACCAGCTGTGATTGATGTTCAGGAGCTGTGTCGTCGCTGGCTGCCCCACTGGAGACTCAGCAGGTGGGAGCCTGGCCAGTACCTGGAGGGGGAGACTCCTGGGAAAAGCTGAGGCTGCTGCTGGAAGAGGTGTGAGTGGGGTCAGTCGGGGGTGCTCACCCTGCGGTTTGCGTGGGTCCTACTGTCCTCATGACAACACCAGTCTCAACACAATTCCTCATTACCCTAACTCCTGCCAAAATTCTGCACGCGGCGATCCATCCTGGAATAGCCCTGCTCTCTGAAGGCACACTACCTGGATGGGAGACTCCTGGGAAAAACTAAGGTTGCTGCAGGAAGAGGTGTTAGTGGGGGCCAGCAGGGGGCGCTCACCCTGCAGTCTGTGTGGGTCTTAATGCCGCAGTATAGTGACGGGGACACTAGACTGTAAACAGGCGCCGTCCTTCGGATGAGACGTCAAACCGAGGTCCTGACTCTCTGTGGTCATTAAAAATCCCAGGGCGTTTCTCGAGAAGAGTAGGGGTGTTACCCCGGTGTCCTGGCCAAATTCCCCCCCCTGGCCTTCACCCATCATGGCCTCCTAATAACAACCCTCTCTGAACTGACTCCATCACTCTGCTCTCCTCCCCCCTGAGAGCTGGGGTGTGGGGAGCGGACTGGCGCCTCATCCAGGTGGGGGTACACACTGCTGGGGGTGGAGGGGATCCCCATGACCTGTAAAGCGCTTTGAGTGGAGTGTCCAGAAAAGCGCTATATAAGTGTAAGCAATTATTATTATTATTATTATTATTATTATTACTCGAGCTTAAACTGAGAATATGGTGGTTGAATGCTCTTTACTCATCCCTAAAAAGACATTCATTGAAATGTCTTTGTCTGACCCAGTGCACTCTGTAATTCATATGAGTGATGTATGGTACCAAGTAATCATTGATTAGATATCCAGTCCAGGGATATTTAGATTTGGTAGCTGCCTGGTTCTGCGAAACGCATCGATTTCTTTGATTGATCTGGCCCTAAATTTAAACACTATTGATTTGGAGACGTACTGTATACAGTGGCTGTCTGCTCTCTATTATTGAGAAACTCCCCAATTAAACAGGAAAGGAGACAACCTCATATAACCAAATACGTTATATTCTGGGTAAATCTAAAATATTGTCATTTTACACAGTCGCACAGTATAAAAAGTAATCAATAAATGAACGAATTCAAGCAGAACGGTCACATTTATTCACACCTCTACGTATAATGGTCTCTAGGGGTTCATGATTTGGGGGGTATTAAAGGAGGTAACACACACACAGAAGACATTCCCCAATTCCAGAAGGCAACCAGTCGTTATTGTGGTTGTCAGAGAGCTCTCTGAAGGTCACGGGCAAATGCTAACTAACCTCCACAAGCTGGGAGGCGTTTGTAAAAGAATCCACAAAAAGCTGGACACAACATTTTCCACTGTAGTAACAGTAATTACCAGGAAATGTAAAGATCATGTCCCTGCACTAACCTGGTACGTGCCGTAACTGAAAGATGGGGGATTGAATCCAATAGCTGGGCTCAGATTAAATCCACAAGCAGGCAGGTGAAAGTCAAACTCAAGGAAGTCGCTCACGACCAGAAACCAATGGGTCTGAAGGACATGGAGAGCTTCGACTTGGAGGGAAAGTTGATCACTTTCTCCTGCGAAGTGTCAGCCACTCGCACTACGGGAGGAGTCTTGGCAGTGTAAGCCCTGCCAGAGGAGGATTTACAAAACACCAACACGGATCGCAGCACGATGTCACAGCACTGACATGCAGCTCCCAGCCCACAGAAAGATCCAGAAGTCATGGTCAAAGAGCAGGCCGGAGTCTAGCTGGGATCACAACAGGTAGCCAACGTGAAGGAAATCTGGAAACGTGGTCGAGGGTACGAGCAAGGTTCAGTACACAACGGGCTGATACTAGGAGACGAGCCGAGGTTGTAAGAGAAGCTGGAAAATGCTTGTGGGTGAAGACAAGCAGTGACATGGGAAACTCTGGTGACTCAAGGGGATAAACTCGATGACTGAGCGCTGAACTGGGGGATGAAGCAAGACTTTAATACCAGAGACCATGGATAATGAAGAGAGTACTTAATTCGAGGCAAGTGTAACTGATCATTTCTCATTCCACATACAGACAGCTCCAGTAGCATTCCCCCCTATGTTGAGATGCGGCATTTGGGAGTACGAGCTGGAAATTACTCTGGGATCACATGTAGCCTATACGAGATAAGTCCAAAGGCGACAGTTGGAGATCTCCAGCACAGACGGGCTCTTTCACTATAAGGAGTCTTAATAATAATCTTTCATGGTCAGGTGGCAAGGAATAAGCCTAATCCCAGAGTGAACCTCAAAATATTAAATAATAATTGCTTACACTTATATAGCGCTTTTCTGGACACTCCACTCAAAGCGCTTTACAGGTAATGGGGATCCCCTCCACTACCACCAATGTGCAG